GGATCCAATTGACCCGTAGTTTCAGAGGATAAGATTTGTGTAAAAAAGAAGCGAACGACGGACGCCAAGTGATAAGAAAATCTCAATTGACCCTTTAGGTCAGGTTAGCTAAAAAGGGTTCAAAATATTTTAAAATATAGGGAAAGACACTTAAGGGCCTTTTAAACAAAAAGTTTAAACATTGCATGTCAGTACTTGCTGTGTAAACCCTACTAAGTCTAGGACTTTGAAAACACGTGTGTGCGTCATAAGGAATAGAACTTGTTCTAACTCATAAGCCTTAACCTGGCAAATAGACCAATCAGAATGAGGATTACCAGGTTTTGCACAAATAAACCTCCTCAGCAAACCCATGGTTTATGAAGACAATGGAGATGCAGAAAATGTTAATTCCAATTAAAAATAGAAGTTTTTTAAGTGAAACTCAAAATATCTATATCAAGAAAATGTGCATATCTTTGGAATATCTAAGTCTCTAATCAATACCGCCATAGAGGTCAAAGAAATGCTGCATTTAACATTAATGTATGGTGGTCCCGTGTCTGATTCTTCGTCGCAATTTTTATAGTAGACGAAACATATTTTATAAAATCATAACTTTTGATCAAAAGTCTGTCGAGCCCATTACAATCCTACATATAGCTTAAAACCCATATTCAAGTGTAAGATAACAACACAAAATTTAATTGAATTGCAAATACTGTTTATATTAAAAGGAAATTGGTATTTATTCTTTTTAATTTCAATCGGAAATGTTTCATAGATCAGTTGTACGTTAATGGCGAAGTACATGCATTGTGAAGTGTACTTTTTTCTCTTTTGTTTTATGTAGTTATTGAAAAAAGTTGTGTTTTCTGAACAAAATAAAATATAGTGCAGGCTTGAGGTAAACCATTTTAGTTAAATTGATTTATACTTCATCAGCTGTTAAAGTAATGTTTAGCGTCAACTAATGACTTCTTTATATCTGTTTACAATTATTAATTTATCGACGTGACACTACGGAAGTGAAAGGCATTTTCCACAAAACAAATGTATCAATTTTCAAATGTATCTAATAAAAAATGCCAAGAAACTTGAAATCATTAAAGTTAATTATGTTTGACATTGTTTACTGAGACAAGATTATAAAAAATCAGTTATGTAGGGAAATTCGTGGTGATTTTTCATTTCTTATAACTGTTGTGGAAAAATTGGCCAGAGGGAAACGCGAAGGCATGACACGAGTATAGGTCACGAGCTCATCATGATGTTTTAAACGACAATGCGCCACTCAGCGGGTTGGACAGATGTAATAGTCCTAATTTTTAACACATTCTTTGAAATTGCGCCTACATTGCGTTTAAATTAGCTCTTCTCGCAAGGAACGGATAAAATGGCAAATTAAATTGACAGTGTTCGATTTTGATTAAAGACCAAGATGCCAATGGCAAAAATTTTAAATGTTTCATAGGAAGGAAAAGCAAATGACCCGTTTATTTTCTTCATTTCAAAGTTTTGTTAACCTCTTTACAGACGACAGTTATGCACGTGCAGCTATTCAATTGTTCTAAATCTACTATACCTGGAAGTTGAAACACAGGAAGTTGCGCAAGTTATGGGGAAAATATGAAGACTTCTTCTTTTGAAAAGTATAACGAAATCAATCTATGAATTTTAATACAAAGGAAAGCCATTATTATTAGCTTTTATTTCAAATTATTTAATTTCCGAGTAAGTGTAAATGAATATTTGATGACCAAATGAATTTGAATCCAAGTGATTTATTATTGAAGTCTTTTTGTAAAGAAATGCTCGATCAGTCATACATTTCTTTAAATTTACGGCGTTGCTTCATTTTAAAATGAAAAATAAGATTAATGAGGGTTGTCAGTAACAGATCACCTAGTCCGGTAACAGATCACCTAGTCCGGACTTTATTCATACGTTTAGGAGACGATTAAGTATAGTACAAGCATTATCTAAACGTTAATGATCAAATCAAAAATAAATCATTGCAAACGAAAATAAGAGTTGACTAAAACAAAATCTGTAACACTGCCTTATTTTTTTCTTCTTTCTTTTCTTATATGAATACGAAATAGTTTATGGTCTATTTATTTATCACCAAGTCAATATAAAATATTTCAATTGTTTCTGATTTTTTTTCCTTTAAGATTCTTTACCGTGGCTTCAAGGCAGTTCTATAAGATGTAGCGATATTATTTGCAGTCATTGATAATTCATACACATTCGAGTAATTACTGATACTTCATTTAATGTTTCTATATGTATTAATCCTATTAATATGTGTAAGGCTAGTATTACAAACTTTATTCTCTTATTCGTTTGAATAAGTAAATCTAAAATATTGGGAAATCTAAAAGACATCATTCACGACAATTTGAAAATATGTTTGCTGTCCAATCATAATACCATATGGCACGTACCAGGTGAGTTTATTCAAGGACTTTAACAGTGAAAGAAAAATTGCTTTATTAAAATATAAAAAAAAATCTTCGTATACTAGATACATGCACATATATGGTAAAATATAAAAATGAGGAGATGAGGTATGATTGCCAATTAGACAACTATCCACCAAAGTTCAAATGAAGTGGCTGTAAGAAATTATAGGCAACCGTGCGTCCTTCAACAATGAGAAAAACCCATACCGTATAGTCGGCCCCGACATAAAAAAAATATGAAACAATTCAATTGAGAAAACTAACGGCCAAATTTATAACAAAACAATTTACGAAAAACAAATATGACCGACTTGAACCAACGGCAACCACTGAACTACAGGCTCCTGACTTGGGACCGGCACATAAAGAATGTAGCGGGGTTAAACATGTTTGTGAGCACTCAACCCTCCCCCTTACCTGGGACAGTGGTGAAACAGCACAACATAAGAACAAACTATAAGAATCAGTTGAAAAAGGCTTTACTCATCATATCGATACAAAGCAGAACAATCAAACAAAAACACAGATCGGACGTGGCAGGATATTTATCTATCCCTCATCCCTAACAACAAAAAGGACAGGAAGCACAGGTCTGAGAGTACTCAGAATGAGAATGTGCATTTGATAGAAACCGTTAAGGTAATGGCGCAAGGCTTTTTTATTTCATCATTTTGTTCCGATGCCCATAATTACTTATGTATGTTAGACCATAGAATACCCCAAACCCCAACCCTCTTTCCTCTGTGTTGTTCTTTTTGTTTGATATTCCCGACGTCAGTTACTTTTTCCATATTTGGTACCTTACAGAACCACGTATCGTGTGTGTGGAAATTGGTATTAGTCTGGGAGAACATTATTTAATTATCAGTAGAAATTGGTATAAGTCTGGGAGAACATTATTTAATTATCAGTAGAAATTCTCTTTAAAATAGGGTTCAGTAACTGCAAGTTTTCTAAGATCGGCACTTTGTGTCTTTTGTCTTTATTTGTTTTCGTGCCAATCTGATAAGTCAAGCCATTTCCAACTGTTTCTTCTTATGTTGTGCTGTTACATCACTGTCCAGGGTAAGGGAAGGATTTAGGGCTCACAAACATGTAAACCTCACCACATTATATGATGTGCATTACCCAATTCAGCAGATTGTATTTCAGTGGTTGTCGTTTGTTGCTGTTTGTTATATTTCTTTTTAGTTTTTGTTTTGTCCTAAAGCATGCTGTCGGTTTTATCGTTTAAATTGTTTCACATTTTTCTCATGCCTTTTGTAGCTGACTATACGGTATGGGATTTGCTCACTGTTGAAGGTCGTACGATGACCTTAAGTTGGTTAAATCCGCGTAAGTTGAACTATTTTGGATAGTTGTCTCATTGGCAATCATACCACATATATTCATTTTATATTACACTAACTGAGAACAATGCTTAGCCAACTGAATACTTAAACTTCTAAGTTGATATGGAAAAATAATCATAAATTATACTTTTTACAATTTATTTTTAAGAAACTCAGAATATATTTCATACCACTAGCATCGCCATTTAAATTTGAACGAAAGATCGGACGAAACCATCCAAATTCAGACTTATTCAATATCAGATCCAAATGTAGAGTATATAGACAAGTTTGAAAGTCGTGCATCGCTCAATTTTGCAGACAAAGGTTAAGTCATTATAAAATGTTGAACGTTGAAAACAAAGAATAAATATTCTATCAAATTCACATTCGCTTATTTTCTAATTTTTCATCAGGAAGTATACATAGCAGTGGTTCTAAATCTTACAAATAACCTTAATTTCTCAACAAAATAATTTTTACTGATTTCATTTGTCTGTTCCATGTTGAAATATAAGCATGACGATATTTTATTCCTTTGACTGTTAATAGAAAAGTAGAAATTCAACATGTAGATTGCTTTTATATCAAGTGTGGGTGCATTTATAAAATTATAAACAATTATCGATAATTATCTTATCAAATGGGTTAATGAAGTTTGATTTCTTGTCGAAATAAACAAAATCACATATAAATGCTTTTTAAATTGCATAATTTTGCAAAATTATGTAATTATTTCAAACACTTTTCCTTTTAAATATCTCAAATTTTCGGAGATCTCACTTTTTTCCGATACGACCCTTGTTGTGTTGATAATGGGATAATTTTGACATTTCTCATTAAGTAGGGTTGTTAGCCCTTGACGATAGGCATGGAACGACTGTTAAATTGTAACTTCATGCTGTTTTAACTGAAAATTTAATTTTAACACCATTTAGGGTAAATGTTTAACAAAATTATAGAAATTATTAGTCGTTTAAAGTTGGCAACTTTTTATTATAAAGAAAAGGTAAAAGGAAATATCTTAATTGGGTTATGAACCTGGTAATTTTTCCTCGTATCAAGTACTTTTATCTTAACAACACCAATTTGACAATTGAAAGGATGTAAAAATTGTAATTTCTCTAATACCGCAATCAACTTTATTGAAGACTTATTTTGTGAATTATCCGCCAACAAAGAAAATAAGCTTAACTATTCTAAATTACCCCCATCCGTATAATATAAACCAATAATTCTACAATTTTCTCAGAATTTACTAAAACACTTTCTCTCGAGGTGGTTCGTGTTTTCTTTTAAGGATTTTATACATTAATATAAATATGCGACGGAAAGTAACTATTATATTTCTTTCCAATATATTAGCTGTGTGTTAAAAATATGAGGAATATGGGTTGGAATAAATTAGAAACTCAAAATAGTTTTCAAAAGGTAAGACTAGTAAAAGCAATGCCGACACTTCATATCCGTAATGTTTATCCGTTCCACAATTACACGGGACACCAGGAAGTATGCAATGGAGTAATATTGTCTTAATTTGTTGGGAGTTAATTCCATGTCACCAGCTTATGTTCGTGTTTCAAAACCGAGTAAATCACTGAACTTAGCTTAATTTTTATTCAAATTCCTCCAGGATCGTTTAGAATTTTTCAAAAATCTTTATAGAAGAGAAAAGTTTGGCAAAATTTAATAGTTGCTTGATTTCGAAATTTGATTTAATAAAAAAAACACGAAATAAAGACAAAAAATATAAAATAATAAAATATTTGTTTACCTTTATATGGCAATGTATAAGTCATTTTTTTTAAATTTATGATTCTATTCCATTTCTTATTACTTTGAACTTATAAAGCTTTAATCATGCCTTTATTTAAGCACAATGTCCCTTGTTTAAAGAACTCTCACTGGTTTTTTTTTCTTTTGTTAATCCCGTAGGATATCTTCCTCTCGTTAATAAGGTTCAACAGTTATCATTTTAATGAACAATTTTCGCCGTTTCAACTTTTATCTTCTTCCATACACATAAATGGACTGTTATACAATATGCCGTTTCTCTTACAATATGTTCCTTTTTAAATTTCAGATTTGATCCTGCAGTGGATCTCTAAGTTCCCCGCATTAATTTTATATTCCATTAGTTAATCATATTTATAATATCATTACCAAATATATAATTTTACATTTTTATATTGTGAGTTTGTTTGAAAGAGGATCAAAGTTGGAAGCAGTCTTGTATTCTTTTATTTCTTGTAAACAATTATAGATCAATGAAAATTTTTTTTAAAAGTCGTGCGTCCGAAGCCATTTTCTGTATTAACTTTTATCGGGAACTCTCAAACTGAATCATTTGAACGCCAAGGATGTATAAATACGTAGATACAATACGGCTATATGACCAAAGGAACCGCTGAAAAATTTTTAAACTGGTACTTAAAAATAAACAAACATAAATACAAAAATCAAAATATACATATAGAGAAAGATCAATAACAAAAATATATTTAATGTTTTCAAAACACAGAGATTATGTATATATGTACTTATAGAATAATGACAAATAAAATTAAAATATTATTACATATATTTTAATTAAAAATTTATTTCTTTTATTTTAACATCGAATTTTATTCAACTCGAGGTCTTTTAACTTAAGAAAAAAAACTTGTAGAAGTATGCGGAAACTACAAGTTCGATGATCTTACGAGAAAACATGCAATTATTAAAAATATGATGAAGAGTTTGAATTTAAAATATAGGATACAAAATGTAAATTTACTTGTTATTAATGTTATCAATATTTTTATTGTGATAATCCTTTTATGATTTGAAAGTGTTAGATTATTTCAAGAATGCAGATTTAGAAAGATAGGTCAAGCGATTTATTTTTTATTTTACTTTTTTAAAGAAGTATAACTATATGTCGAACTAAAAGTTAAACAAAGCTGTCTTTATTCCTTTTGTTAAAACGAATTGTCCTTTCACACCAATCAAATTTCTACGCATATGTCACGAACATTTTTGCAATTTGGTCCCAACAAATTAATTATGATTTCTACAAATTTAATTTGTTAATCAAGCTGTTTTATTTTCTTTTTATTTTGCTTTTAACTATAGAGTGTTAGACAAAGTACTGTCAAAAATACCTCACAATTCATAATTCTCACCTAGTAGCTAAACACGGACATATACCTACCGCGGTCCGGCGTCGTACCCAGCTGTTTCTTATTCTTTCGTCATTCGAAAACATTTTGTACTTGCGATCAACAGGGTTGATCAAGTATTGTTGTCAGTTTGATCAGACGCAGGTCGGCTTCTCAAGCAACCTGTTACTCGTGAAAGTTAAGGACGGGTATATTTATGCTCTAAATTAGCCAATAAAAAGTGTGATAATGAAAAAAAGTTACAAGTTTTCTTGATTTTTCACTTTGCAATATCATTTCCACTTGTCTTCAAAGGTCACCGACAAAATACCTGAGCTAAAGTGTTATCAGTCTCGTGTAAGACTAAGGGAAAAAATAATGTGCTATCTAAAGGTGAAAGCGAATTGTCATTTTTTATCTAAACATGAGTATTATAAGCTTTAATGATCAACCACCGGTGTTCCCATTTTATTTATAAATTGCCATCATTTGGAAGTCTTTTTGATTCATTTTACTTTCATATATAGTTTTTAATATTTAATATCACTCCAAAGAAATAAGTTACAAATGTATTTGCATAGACAGTTTTTGGTATTAACTTAGCTGATGTTGCAAAAATATAAATATATATTTCAAAAGAAGCGCATTCGTAAGTATTCCTAAAATTTTGTTATTTGACATATATTCAAACCAATAGCTTCTTTAAATACGAGAATTTTCTTTGTTGTAAATTTAAGCTACATTTTATTTTCATCGAGCTTTAAGTATCGGTAGGACATTTCTTTAGTCAGTGTATAACCTGCAAAAATGTGACTCTTGAGTAAAACGGATATAAACATTTTATGTGAAAAATGATACTACTATAAAAGGAAAATCTGAGGTTTTATATTTTTGAAAATGTAAATATAAACACAAGAGACCTCTGTGCGTCTTGTTGCTTATGAATCGTATACGACCAGTAGTGAAATTTTATAACGTTGAAAGACGGGTTGGTTTTCCTTCAGCAAGATACAAATTACGCTTCAACCGCATAATTTAAACTGTCAGTTTTAAAAAATTTAAACAGACATAAAACTACTTCAACCCTCGGTGGAATTCAGAGGCGGGACTTTAATATTCTTTATTGCGGTATTATCGAAAATTAGAATTCATATGGACTACTAAAAACTTTGAAAAAATATCAAATTTCTGAATTGCGTGTATTTTGGAAGTAATAATAAATTGGTGGTATGACTTATTACAAGCACTTCCAAAATTGTCTTTATTGTAGATAAGTATTAAGGACATAAGCTCGAAATTAAAATGTTTAGTATTTCAATAAGAAGGTTAAGTCTATAACAAATATTGAGAAACAAATATTTCGAACGGGTTCTCTAAGTCTACATACAAGTCATCAGTTCGTCTAAACATCAAATTCTTTTTAAAAAACGCAATATTTCTGTGTTAATGAGGTAAATTGTAAATGCTTAAACTTGAAATTTATTCAAATATATAAACATTGGTATACAATCATGCATATAAAGGGGGTCAAAATTGAAAGAAAAACATAAATGTGATAGTTTTATCAGATAGCGCATACACTCGGTTACAACAATGACTCATATTTGAAATGTTAAGATATTCAAGTTTTTATGTAAAGTGTTGCATTTCAGCAATCTATTTTCCTATTTTAACTAGTTTATACAATTCGATGTGAATCATGGCCAGTAGGTTACATTCTTAAAGACAAATTACATACTTCTGTTTTATGTTATACAAGTCTTTAACTGAGAGATTGCATTTCAAAACATCCCACATAGGGTATAATATTTCCCAGCACAGATACATATGTTAGTATGTTATAACAATATTTTAATAAGCATATTTTAGCAGTATTGAGATTCATAATGATGTGCTAATTTGAATTTAATCGAGTGAGAAACCGTTAAGTATTTTGATATGTTATTCGAGCAGACCCGAATCATCTGTTTAAACGATAGTTTGCAACAATTAAGAAATGTAAGCTGTTAATAATGTGTATATTAGTAGATATATGGCGGTAATTGTACTTCAATTGAGTTCTAATTCGCGGTAATTTATGGAAATACCTAATTATATTAGTATTCAACAAAATACACCCGTTTGACGAACTGTTAAGTGGAATGTGATACACATTTAATTGTTGATTTTTAATACAGTCGATATGTCGATAAATTTAAGAAATTGTATAATGCTGTTACCTTGATTTTTACTTGAATTGTGCTGATCTCTGAATCTTAGGAATGGCATGTCTGCTAATACATTATTATTATTATTATTATTATTATTATTATTATTATTATTATTATTATTATTATTATTATTATTATTTTTATTTTTATTATTATTTATTATTATAATTATTATGCTAGTAAACAGAAAAATTATATTTGCCCTAGAAACTAAAAAAGGTTTATATATATATAGCCTGGTGCCTTGTGAATGATATAGCTTTCCAAAGACTACTATTGTGTTTTGATCTGCCCTGTTTCTTTACATATATTGCCATTAATTCATTAAATTGAAAGTGGATTGATTTGTGTGTTACACAATGTTATCATGATTGTTTCGTGTAGGACTATTGTTTCGCAACGCGTGTTTACAGCAATATATTCAAAGAAACGATGGCTTTACAAATGAGCTACTGCTGTTAACATAAAGATTTTGGAGAAAAAAGCGTTTTTAATGAACTACAATTGCAAATCTAAAGCTGGAATCACGCTTAAAGTTTATTTGGTCTCTTAATACTACTAAAATCGCATTTTGTCATAGTTAAATCATATAGAACAATGAGATACTACATATAATTTTAATTAAACAACGATTTTCTTATAGCTCTCAATGTAAAACACCAATGAAAAGAAAAGATATCATTTTGAGAATTTTTTAGCAACAGAAATTGAATTTTTGTTGAATTTTGATGTTTAAGTAATTGCCAAAGACATAAAAGACGTAATGCATTAGGTATGTTTTAGTGTTAATTCTCGACCGTTTGGGTAGTGGTCGATGCACTCCGTTTGTAGTCCGAGATCTTGACGATATTACTGCACGCGCTATTTTCATCATCATTCAAAACAAGCGTTGTCCTTCTTTCGTAAAACACATTAAAACCGTTTTCTATGGACATATTTGTTAATAACCTTGTAATTTGTATCACGTGCCTGCAATGATGAGTTTTCAGTTTTCACTTGTTTAATCGCATGGAAATTCTTTATGTTTTATCAATTTTCAAGCTGGCACGTGCCGGAAAATTAAACCGGAACAACATCGGCGTTCATACAAAAATGCCGATGATTTAAAACTGCACGAAGAGAAAATAATTCCCTACAGAAGTAAATTAGTTTATCATTTCTTTTATCATGCGCTTGAATAGTTTATAGTTTTCAAAACAATAGAATAATTAAATCACACCAAGAGATTGTGAAAGTGACAGCGACTTTATTTTTTTTAGAAACTGACAACCAACATTGTCTCTTTTCCATGTTTATGTTGTAAGTGGCTATCTAAGTGGCTTTCCATGTTAAACATGTGGTTTAAAATATTTATCAATTTAATGTATCAAAATGAACACCCCAGGACACTTTACAAAGTTGGCTAATTTCAACAGTTAGATGCGCTGTCTCTTAAGAGATATTAAATACAATGTTGAATTTCTTTACCCAATAAACTGTGTTTCAATAAAAATAAAAGTGCTAAATTTATATTAGAAATATGTAAAGGAGTGACAAAAATGACAGAACTTTAAAAAAGATATATTAGTTGATTCTGGGAAGGTCAATATATAATGTCCTTGGTATATTCAGAAAACTGTAATGGCGAGTTTAGGGGTCAAGTTGTACGGCGCGGTAGCAGAATTAAAACACTCCTCTAAGGTATAACTCTAGAGTGTCTTGTTCTAAAGCACTCACCCGTGATTGCTGCAGTTATAATGGAATTATTAAAAGCATATTATATTATATCATTTCATTCCATTTATTTTTAAACTAGTTTCTGTTCTACATGTTTTGGTGCTTCTCCGTTTGTTGTTTTTTTCTGACGAATTTATCATTGTTCGTTTACCTGAAAAATAATCTGTAATTTCTAAACTCTTTCTTGTTTTTTTGCGCTTTATTATAAATGTTCATGCATCTATTTATTTTGAATGTTTATTTATTTATTTGTGTTTGTTTATATATCTTGCAATGTACACCCTTTAAACATAAATCTTAGACAAGTTATTTACATCTTACAACATTTTCTTTTCACCAATGTAGTGCTTTGATATCTTTTATATCGGAACACGTGAGAATATATCTAAATCGCAGACGGTGATTTCATAAGAAAAAATCTTTTAATAGGGGACGACAAATTGATTTTCAGAGGGAGGAAGATTATTTGCGGATGGAACATTCATTTTTCACTGGTTGATTGCATTTTGTACACAACTATTTTCTGCATTGTCCAGCATTTTGTAGGACAGAATATTCATTTTCATTCTATCTTTGGCAAGGTTTTTTCCAAATATTACAAGGCCAGAATATTCATTTCGAAAATCCTCTTGCTGCCTAGATTACAAAATGTCATCTCCTTAAACAAAATCTAAGCAAATTCTTTTTAAATTTAGAAAAATATTGCGTTGTTTTAATCAATATATTTGCTTCCAGATTTCTGACCTGACTTGCATCTGGAATGTTGATAGGAGAACCGGTGAAAAATGAAGAGATGAATACAAACAAGGATGAATATTATGAAAATTTGAACGTCCATAGGAACTCATTCTACAAGTAGAAATATACATTACATAAGTATTTATTCATATAATGGGTATATTATGAACACTTTTGGTTAAATTTTATATTCTTAATAAAACATTCAATTAAATATTTTTAATTATGTTTGTTTCCTGGTTTTATTTTGTTTACGTCGATAAAATGGTACAAGTTGATGTCATGAGTTGATCAATTCATTAAACGGGCCAAATTGTTTGGTTCAGTTTAAATTTGAAAAACGAAGATACGTTTGCACTTTTTAGTATTTCTCTATGTGTATTGTTTTACATTTTTTTATATTTTCTCAGCATTTTTATTTCCTTGAACTTTCCTCAATAGTATTAAATAATCTATTGCTCACAAAAACATCTACATTATGGCAAACATATACGCTTCTCTTTCTCGTCATGTTTTGTGACTTGTAATGCCGTAAGAGTTTTCCCAATGTTATACACTTTTGCAGTTGTTTGAATTTAAGCCTTCGCAAAAATAATCTTCCTATTGGTTCACTTTCATGAACATGGTGCAAATCATACCTACAGTCGGCTACATTCTCGTCCTTCGGTCTCATTGGCAATCATTGCCTTATTTTTATACTTACCGTAGGCTAATGTACTTTTCAGAAAAGCACACTTAAGTACTGTCTCGCTTGATTTTTTTTTGGTTTACCGGTTGTATTGCTAAAGCGGCGAAATAGCAAAAAAGTTGCATATGATATAACATTTAATAACATTGGATAATATCAAAACTTGATTTTATTATTATTATTATTATTATTATTATTATTATTATTATTATTATTATTATTGGTTGTGATGGTGGCGATGTCTATTTGTTACATCCATCTTAGACAGTAAATTGATTTTTGGATTTTCTATCGTGTTTGTTTGTATTTATACCAACATACACAGTGCATGATCCATTATTTGTTTCTATATTTTTTCCACATTTAATTGCAAGTTGTACTTTTATTTTGATTAATGTAAGCGTAATGATGTTTTATCTTGACCGACGTCTCTCTTCAAAATCTGAAACTTTTCTGTGACTTTGTCTTTTAAATTTCTTATACATACATAATCAGATTTTCCGCTTATCAAAAATGGATTGTCAAACTATTTTGTAATTAAGTTTCCAATGCCGCCATAACAAAACAAGCTACAATTATTTGATTTTTTGTCCTGATAAAACTTCGAGAATGTTTTGTGTTTATTTCTCTATTTTTGTCTTTTTATGTTTTGAAACTTACAAATTTCAGGTGATTGTTCGCGGTGATTTTATCTCCGTTTTTATTGCTCTTGGAGGTCAAATATTTCAAAGTGACTTCAAACCGATAAAGGAACAAATTAGGACCAAATTTTTCATTTTTTCAAGTAAGAATCATATCGCATTGTTAAGGATGTTGTATGAAAAATTATATTTTTGACCTGAAGATCGTCAAAACAATAAGCCACATTCTGCTAGTGGAACAGAAACATGAAATTCCTGATATCTGAGATTATAAATGCCCTATTGATATTTTCAGTAGGAAGTTTTAAATTGTTAATATATGACTTGCATAATTCTGATACTTAAATTACTCCCTCCTCAAGAGTAACATTATTTCAAAAAAATTTTTATATAGTCGTTACTGCTGAGCTGCTGTAACAAGACCAGTTTTTTTCTTTTATTTCCTTTGAGTTAGTTGGTTTCCAATAGTTAATGTGTTGCGTTCAGCTCCTATATCGATTGTTTCGTTGTGTATACTTATTGTTCAGCATCATGTTTGACACTCTGGGCTATATTTCATGACTAAGTGACATGAATAAAGTTGCGTTTATGTCGATTTATCTAAAACAAATAGAAATGTATTGCCATTGCGGCCATCTTGTATATATAGTTTCATTATAGTCACGAAGATTGAATTATCTCTGAGTTATGTTTTGTTTTCCGGTTTATTTATATATAGGACATATGTATATGGTAATACAAATGATAATCACCACAACATAATTGGTATCACTATGACGAAGAAATTTCCTTTATTTTACAGGGATTATATGTTCTAAAACCACAGCATGTAGTTTATTTAACTTAAAAGAACCCTTTTAACTCAGCAACTAACCTATAAAAGTGAAAGTTCATCAATCCCAAATGTCCCCATGACAAATTATGCAAAATTGGATTACATTTGACAAATTTGTTGATCATAATGCGTAGTTGTGCATTCGAATTTTTCTATCAATTTACTTTCCCGTAAAGTTATGTGGTTCTTTATGTTTTACGAAATGATGCTAATTGCTTTGCTCATATAGTTTTGTTTGATATGCTTAAACAGTAACGAACAACGATATAAAAACGTTTACAACTGATATAACAGCAGGCTTTTTGTATGCTCTCAGTTTCTACATGCATTCTTTGATACAGTATTGTTTTTTACTAGAAATAAGAAGATGTGGTATGTGTGCCAATGAGACAACACTCCACCCAAGTCACAATGTGTAAAAAGTTAATAATTAAAATTGAGAATGGAAATGGGGAATATGTCAAAGAGACAACAACCCGACCAACGAGCAGAAAACAGCCGAAGGCCACCAATGGGTCTTCAATACAGCGAGAAAATCCCGCACCCGGAGGCGGGCTTCAGCTGGCCCCTAAATAAAAATGTGTACAAGTTCAGTGAAAATGGACGTCATACTAAACTCCAAAAACATATATAAATGAACTAAAATTAAAAAAAACATACAAAACGAACAAAGGCCAGAGACTCCTGACTTAGGACAGGCGCAAGAATGCGGCGGGGTTAAACATGTTTTGTGAGATCTCAACCCTCCCCCTATACCTCTTGGACAGTCACTGATAAATTTATTCACGACCCAACTACAGACTCAGGGCAATTTAGAGCTTCATATACATTGTGTCCACCCTTGTCTATTGATAAAGACTATGTTGATCAGATCCCTGTCTATTGCTGAAGACTGTATGTTGATCAGGTGGTGTCTTTTGGGGTGGTGTTGTGTTGTTGTCCCATTGGCGTGTACGCCAAATCTCCTTGTATTATATTGTGTGTGGTTTGTCTATCATTAGGAATAATTGTCTCACAAATTTGTCACGATTGTTGACAAAGATAGTCATGAAAACTGTGACATGAACATTTCCAAGCCACGATGTACTTTTCCAGAAAAAATGTAATGACGTTCATTGCTCATATTTGTGATTGAGGATCTTGTCCTGTCTATTTAGTTAAATACCATAGCTGTCAGATATTAGTGATAAACAAAATGTCATGTCAGTATACGAAAAATATTACTTCAATTTTACTTGTTTTCTCCTAAAATTGGTTGTTATTGTATAAATTATGACAATTAACATTTGTCTTCTGACTTTTTGGTACCATTGGAATGATTTTGATATATAATAAAATGATTGTGTCTGCCTGAGAATTGACACACATAAATACACCCTTAAATTGCTTATATAATATTTATAAGTATAATATTTTTAATCGTCAAAACTAAAATCATCTATATATGTGTTGGCTTTCTATTTTGTAAATTACAAGTTTTATGCAGTTGTCAATCCGTTAACATTTTTACTCATATGTATTCAATGCAACAGCTGGCTTCCGCTTATGAACTGATATGTCCCCATTTTATTAAGTACTAACCAGCACTAGAAAATGTTATGGCTTTTACAACATTTTACTTTAGATGTAAATAAAACCCTTTCTTTGGGTTTGGTCTTTTTTCTTTTTGCGTTGTTTTTTGGGGGACGGGTGAGGGGGGTAGTTGTGATAGTTATATTATGTTAATATCTTAAAGGGTATTGTATATAATCGTTAGCAACCAACGACATATTTTTATGTCTATAACTGAGTGTTTTCTAAAGTTGATAGCTATTACTTCGAGAAATGTAGAAAAAATATCACACGCATAATTCGACAAATGAAACAACGAGGAAGAGAGAAAGTACAAAATAACAGAATCTAAATAACAAAAATGGATCATTCATTTTGTAGAAATTTGAGATAGTGGGTGAATGAATATAAGATACCAAACCTCATTCTTTTTCATTTCTGACGCATCATTAGAAAATGCACACATCTAAAATGTCATTTTCTATTGAATTACAACATCTCCACGACGTCACTCTATCCGCCATCCAGCGCCGCCGTCATGTTTAAGTCATGTGACGTTTGACAGCTGGCTTAAGAAGATTTACTCAAATGTCATTCCTATTTAAAATGTACACGAAAATAGTGTTGGAAAAGATGAATCCCCGCTTATGTTACAATGTTAAACAAACCACACACAGAAAGTTGAAATACAACTTTGTGTGTTTTGGCAATACGGAAAAAACTCTTCAGGAATGGATTTGGACGGACACTTTAATAAACAAAATAAAAAATAAGGATTCGTTATATAATCAAGGACCCAGTGTTTCGAAGGTATCGTAGGACTAAGACATATCTTAATATGGTCTTATGGCATATCGTCGTCTTAAGTGAAGTTTTTGAACGTGTCTGAAGTTAGTCTATGTCCTCAAATATATATATTGTAAATTTAAGACATTAAAAAAATGTCTTAGGATAATCAAAGAGTCAATGCCTTTGCAATTATATTATTTATTGTGTTGCACACTGAACTTTCGTGCTTTTGAGGTGTTATTTGTATTTAAAAAATACCATTCCATACAGTCATCAGCAGTTTATATTGTATTCTCCATAGAATGAATGTCCACGGAAATACCATGCTGGACGTACATGTACGTGTCTGCATGACTGGTTTGAATTCGTCTTCTACGGTTTGAAACAAATGAAAGGCATCAATGAGGTTCTATTCATTAGTTTTTCCTCGTATTTTTATTTTTACTATGGTATATAAGATATAGGTATCATATAGTCACCATGATCAAATAAATAATTACCTTTCATACTATAATGATAATATTACTTTTATATTAATTTTAATTAAATGTTTTAGTTTAATGTATAAAAAGAAAGGATGCTTTTAATTGAACATGAATATATCTTAGAACAATCCTCAGACCTTCATCATTAGAACTATATATAAGAAAAGCGTTGGTTTACAGTCTAAGACATATACAAGGACAGTTTAAGGTATATCTTAGGACGGGTCGTGAATATATGGATACGTCAATGAGACAACCCAACGACCCAACTAACCAAAAGACTCGCAGTATTCGACAATAGACGTACATGTGTTTATACAATATATCAAGCTCTAACTCGCCCCGAGACGAAAACAAATGTGAATAAATTTAACAGAAACTACCAGGAATCTAATACCATATTTTATATATTCTTCGTCTGAAATAGAGCCCAACAATGGGGAAATAGCAATTTGCGTTAACAATTTTTTTTTCTTCCCTCAGCGGTATTCGAACCCCTGCTTCTGTGACATCGTGACAATAAGCCCGAACTGTGTCTAGCGCCCTAGACCACTCGACCAACTAGGCTTTAAAATATGGCCTCTTTCGTTAATCGGGTAATGCCTTTTCTCGTCGGCTGTATCTAGAGGTGTAACACAGTACATGATGTATAGTAACAAGTTACCGGGATACCTTGCAGACTCGGATGATTTTGTCTATTGCAAAGAAAAAAAAATATCAAAGAATGATCGAAGTAACTATACCAGGCTCAGGATTTCTGTTACAGCATTGAAACTGGCATGCAGATTTACCACTTTAAGTGAGGTATATGATTATATTGATTTTACGTACGACATCAGAATTTATTTTTTACATCTTCGCCTTACTTTTTTAAGTACACTGTGATATAACTTTAGAATCATATATCAGCACTATATGTGCTTTTGAAAATGGGTTATGTCGCATTGGTGGTAATAAGAATAATATCTCAAATCATGCATTATAAACGAAGGTATATAAGAGTCAATAAAAACCTTACAATTGATGGTTTTATAAAACTTCGGAAATTGTGGCTTGCGATACATTGTTTATTTATATGTCTAAACATATGATTATATTTTATTGAACATTCGGTGTCAAACCTTCAATCAAAATGTATTCATTGAAATATTTTGTTCAAAATGAAATCACAAAAATAGAGCAACAAAGAACATGGAAAAACTAGAAAAACTAGTTGCCACTTGTTCAAAGTTATTTTTTCGATTGAAATTTAATCAAATACTACGATCTGGTGTTTTATTTCAAAAACCATAAATCCGTAAACTATTAGAAATTACAATACTTGGTGTTTACAATCTTTTAATCGATTATCGATTAGATTTTTAACCGATACAAAAAAGTCAACATACAACACTGATAAAAATCAAAAAGCAAATAATTTGTAATTTTGTAATAAAATGATTTTAAGCAATCCTAACAGAATGGTGAAGTTTTTATAAAAAATGGACACTATCAGGAATATTTTTTTTAAATAATACCTTTTATTATTCAATTATTCCTTTTAAAAAGAACTGATTCCACAATGAATTTTTAAAGAAATGACTAGGACTCTATATCCCAGAAATATACATCAGTCATATATGTATTGTTGCTAATTCAATTCTGCTAATTTTTGGTTCAGTTTCTTAAAAAAGCTTTTGAGTTTTAATCGATGAATTGCATCTTAAAAAACGGAATCAATTAAGAGACACAAAATAGCAATTAAAAAAACAAATAAATAAAAAGTCAAAGTGATGAAAATTTAAGAAAAGATTATTATTTTTACTTTTAATGAAATATCTATGCAACAAATGTCAATATAATTATAAAAACGGTAACTTAGATGTGCCTAAGCAATAATTTACTAAAAAAAGAAATAAATTCATAATTGTTAAAGAATTGTGAAAATATCATAGGCTTAAAAATTCAGAAGCAAACCATGTAATCTTTCATTTATTTGATAAGGAATTGCGAGAACAAATGTTCATTGTTTACTTATCATTTAAATATTTTAAACAATCTTATTTCTCCTGGATCTTTCATGTGATGGATATGGTAAGGCGGGCATTCTATTCCAAAAATCAGGTTAAATGTATAAAAGTAGCCTTCCCAATTGTCCATATTTTTTTTACGGATTCTAGAATTGAAAATTAAGCCCGATAGATCTTTTTATATCTTCAACTTTTACATGGTAATTTTAACACTCCTTGTTATAATAATTTTGACAAATATCTAACTTAGATTTTATTAATAGTAAGTTTAACTTTAAATAATGTCCAATAATATACTTATACCATTTTGCTTTTATTTAATTTTCACCTCATAGGAATAGCTTTACAATAGGCATACAAGACATTGATATAACGTATTTTTTTCAGCTATAATTAAAATCTCTGAAGAAACCTTAATGAGAGTTGATTTGTTTTCTTTAAGTATGTTACGGGCCATTTCTTATTACAAGCTTTTACTCAACGGGCCGTACTCCGCTATCTCTTTTTTCAAGTATTTACTCCGCTATCTCACGTTTTAGGAATCCAGTTTGCGTGCTTGCATTAATGCATCATCTAAAGTCCATTTGTAAACCTGCACAATAAAGCAAATACACATAACCATGTAATTTATCCAAATATTGGTAATTTATCCTCTATTTTAAATAATAATCCTCTCGGGTCTAGGAAAATGGTAGTTAAGCTTGTCTTAAAGCGTGTTATTATCTGTATTTTTATTTTATAAATGTAATTCAAAAATAACAAGATTTTTAATAGATTATGACACTTTTTACGTTAATATCTTATTAAATAAACTCCTAAATATGTTATTATAAAACCGCTATGTAAATCGTCCCGGTGGATTCGAGTGTGATTGAGTTATCAATGAACCCGTTAATCACAGGTTATTACCGGGTAATTAGAAGACATTTACAAACCATTTTATGGAATGAAAATAGTCAAGTACCCAATTCAAGTATCACTTAAAACCCCGCTCGAGCGAAATACACAATATAAGTCACATGAAAAAGCTAAAACAATATGGATTATTATTTTGAAATTTGATGGGTTTTTTTTTATTTAGATAAATAATAACCAATGAAAGACAGAGAAAGAAGACAATGAATACAAAAAAAGACAAATTAATGAATAAATATTAACATGTTTTTCGATTTCAGACTTACAAGTTTTAATATGCATTATTTGATTGAATTACTCTAATAATTACGGGTTAGAAACAAATTATTATTACTAAGATTGACCCTATGTTTTGTGCATTTTCAATTAATATAGAAAAGGCAATTTTACATTTGTTTGAATTTTAAACAAATACGTTATTGTTTTTTTTGTTTAAAGATTTCATTTTATTATACATGCGGTATAGTGCATTGATTCTAATCGCCGTTCGAAGTTTAGAAGGAATGTTTCTTTTGAATTTTTAATACTTATTTTTATATTGTTCTTCCTTTTTTGTTTCTTATAAGGCCCCCCCCCCCAAAAAAAAAAAATTGAAAAAAATCTTACATTCCAATAAATGAAATAACAGTTTTCATGTAGAGAATTATGCATAAAAATTATGCATAAACAATATGAATTTTATAAGATATAAACTACTACTATTATTGTTTTATCAATTCATTTTCCCACGTTATTATACGCGGCAAATAAAAGACAACTTTAAAATGAAACTGAGAAAAAAATCACAGGAAAAAATATAAAGAAAGTTTGGTCAGGTACTGGCGCCAAAATATTGTGAAAGGTGTCTGCGCCTGGTAGCAAAGTTTAAACACAACTATTTAAATATATGGTACGAAAAGCCACGCTGAGAAATTTCAACAAAAAATGTCATTGTATTTTTTTTATTCTTGTGATGAATTTGCTGAAGACAAAACAATAGATGTTAATTAATTTCTAAATCAAAAATACTTTTTTACCTTTTCATTGATTTGATTAGCTATCTACCCGTGAAGTAAAGCCACTCAAGTGTAACCATTGTGTAAAATAACATGTGTATTTAACACTGCTTTCAAATTTAATTAACGTTGATTTTTGTTTGTTTAAACCATGAGTTTTTCTGACTTTCTTTATTAGAGTACTATTACTTCTAAATTACTCGACTGACTCGTGTGTAAATGTCAACTCAAACGGAACGGACCAATCATGTTCAACATTAACATAAATAGGCGGGGTTAACTACAACTGATGAATAGACTAAATAAGTTTTGGGTCGTGTTCACAGATTTAAATACAAGGTTTATTCTGAAAGTAATAACATTTAATAGCGCTCTTGCATAGAGAATGAGAGTAGTTGATCACCGGGTATAGGACTATTTATCTAAAATTACCCTTAATAACTACAGTCAACATTACTGTGTACCGAGCTTTGTTATTGATGCCAAGCTCATTTTGACAACTTGAAATCGAATTTCGATCACGAACATTGAACAACCATCAACAAAATTTTTGAAGTTGTGTATCATATCCTGAAATCTGGATATTCACCAATATAACGATTATAAGATGTTGAACGTTGGTGGACCCGAGGGTCTCGACCAGGAAATGGGTGGCAAGTCAGCATTCATGGATCTACAACAACAGCCTGGTATGCCCCACGGAATGACTCACCCGGCATACCCTAACCGTTCTCTGTACCAAGGACATCCACATTCGGGACAACATGGAGACAGTATATTCTCTAATCCTCAACATGCACGGTCACTTGGGTATCCATTTCATATGAACTCTATGTCACCCTCCGGGTATCAGCCACCTGCAGGACATCCGTTTCCAATGCCACATTACCATCAAAGTCCTTCACCTCCGAGAGATGGTAAGTAAAATTTATGTTTTGTATTTATTCTACAGTTTTTTCTTATAGCATAAAACGATCGTATGATACCAATTGTACACATGACGAATCGGTCATGCAACTTTACGCCCACCTTAAAGCGGTTAGTAAAAGGACAGTGTTGTATTTTTGACATGTATGTTTCTCTTGTTTATTTCAAGGTTATGTTTATAAAACGGTCTCTCCTTAAAACATGATCACATCTCAATATAACGTTGTTGATCTTTTAACCATGCGTTTAAACAAAAGAGTCGAACATGTCGGAAGTTTCTAATGAATACAACTTTTTCACGACCAATGATCACAAAATTAAAAAAATCTAAGCAAAGGGTCTGGTAAAAGTATGAAAATTGAGTAATCAAACCTCCTTGAGATTTTCCGATTTAAATAAAATTTTCAAAGTAATTAAACGCCATCAAACGTAAAGATTTTAAGCGATAAACAGGAATCTAAAATTATGTTTGATGTCGAACTCATTTTTTTTCCAAGGAACATTATCACAATGTTTTATTTAACATAGTATAATAATGAGAGACAAAAATCATTAATTTCAGTTATTTTTTGAAGTAAACATTTTTTAAAATAGCATAGAATAGCTTAAAAGGGCGAAAATGAGTGCATTTGTAAAATTGACACTATATATTGAAATGCAGTGTTAATATATCACAAAAATGAACATTGTGTGCCTTTACCTGTTTGGCACGGGACAATGAGTAAAATGGAAAACTGTCACAAATAATATTTCACTATTGCTACTTAAGACGAAGCGTATTTAAAATTTAGAAATAGTATCATACCCCATTGAAATTAATATATTAATTATAATGTTTTAATTGCAAACACTTGGAAAAATTTATAATGGAGTGTTTAAATTTTGATAAAGATGGACTCAAGGAGATATTGTTCAATTGAAATCCTACCCAAGGTGTAGAATTTTAACAATTTTAACATTTATAATATATATATATAAATAAAGACAAAATTCAGCACAAAAAAATCCCAAAAGCATGACTTAGTGGAACAGCTTTATATGTTAAATTTCTAAAGGTGGAAATATTTGTTTGCTGCAGTAAATTTTTCAATATAAATAATTTCAAAATTATAGGAGAAATAATTCCTGTAATATTCATATTTTTATCAAAGAATTTTCTTTTTGATTTGTTTGATATTGTTTATTCCTCCATTTTTATCTTAGCAACATTTCTGTTTATAGCAACTGAAGATTTATTTTTTATGTCTATAGACAAGTCTCAGATAGAGGAACTCCGTATAAATGGTAAGGGTAAGAAGATGAGGAAACCCCGGACGATATACTCCAGTCTTCAGCTACAACAGTTAAACCGCCGATTCCAGAGAACGCAGTATCTTGCATTACCCGAGAGAGCAGAACTAGCAGCATCCCTAGGCCTAACACAAACTCAGGTAAGTGTGTCTCCATTTTTAATTTTTGTGAAAAAAATTATTGTTGAAGTTTTGAAATGATGGTACATATAGCAAGAGTTTTGTGCTAACAATCAACTTTACATTTGACGAAAAATTAACTGGCTTTCAAAATTAAAAGGCTTGCTTGAAGAATATTTTAATTTTAATAAATAGTTTTATTGATAAAATAAAATGTTTTATATCAAAATGCAAGTTTGAAATATTTCTTTATTTACCTTATACGGAAATTGTTAAAAAAAAATCCCACAAATACAGGTTTTCCTAATATCAGAGAATCTGTTATTCTTCTTAATATTTGTCCGGTTAAATTCCATGTCTAAAAATTGAATTTTATCTAATTATATTTCGCTAAATTTAGTGCACCTTTCTTACTTTATAAGTTTAGTCCCTACATTTGCTACTGGAGCTTTTCTTTAAACTCCAATTTATATATCCAGCGTTTTGCCATCAATTTACTTAAATTCTACCAAAATTAAACAATTTTAGGGATGAAATTATCTTAATTAGGGTTCTAAGAACAGCATTTACCTGGGAAATTACCCTAAATAATCAGTTTAGACCCAAAGAAAATAATACATGATTATACTCAATCAGCAAGCACGCTGGTGCTTAAAATTTCATAATAATCTTTGATAAGATGCTGTAAACACAAAGTGGCTTATTTATTTGACAAGAAAAATACGCAGTGTAGGCCGAATTCTCCTTAATCCATGTTAGAAAGTATCTGTTCGAACATAATTATATTGATTTTTGGGAGAAAAGTGGTGTTATTTTTTTAATCATAAGGAAATTTAGTGAAATTATCTATTATTTTCTCTAATTGAATAAATCACATTCACGCTTGTGTTTAAAGAAAATGCTTATTATTTAGTAGTTATTGTTTTGAAATGGACGATAGAAATTATTAAATGACAGTTATTTTTTTACTGTAACAGAAGTAGCAGTTTGATTAAACATGCAAACATCTTTGTTTTGTTTTTTAAATAAGAATATCAAAATTGTTAACCTATCTCATGAATAAATGGAATACTTTCAAAGCAGTTTCAAAGTTTTATATAATGCAATTGTCCTTGGTCTATATTTTATTGCAAAAGCTGCCTGACGTTGGTATCGTGCTTGGGAAACGGGTTTCTTTTTGGCTTCCAAAACTTTTTGTATCGATCATACCTAATGAAGTTTATGGCATTGGTATCAGATAGTTTATTTGGATAACAGAGGACATTGACTATATTTTTACTTGTATACTGTTACAGCTTATCTGTATTCCAGTGCAACACTGCACGTACTTTTGTTTGCTCATGGTTAATTTTTTCTTTTTGTAAATTTCCATTCTCTTGCATTATTATATTATTAAATTTGAAAATGTTGACCTTACTGAGGATTGAATCAAACGCAACAAAGACTATTCATACAACTTTATAAATTTAAAAGGTCATTTGCCGAATATCAATTAATTCACTTCTCATGGAATAGATTCGCTAGTTGACATATCTTCCATCGTTGCCTCTGGCATTTCGTATGTAATTTCAATACGTATAGGTGTTTATCAATCTGTAATTACAAGATTAGAATTATTAAAAGATAAAAAATACATGAAAAACAAACGAGCGATCATAATCTTTCTTCGGGATTTTCAATTTATAATATTTTATTTGATTAACGGTTCCTCGGGCAAAGTTTCTATTGGTAAATATCCTGGTCTCATTGTAAATATTCAGAGAAGGTACGAAATTAGCCAAGGGCCTGTCATGAATGCCAAATTGATTGACACTAAAACAATGTACTTCAGAACAATAGTCCTGATTGATTCCAACTCTGCGAATATTCTCCTGTTTACAGAAATGTTGCGTTAATATTCATGTGTTTTAATTGGTATACAAAAATGAATGTATTTTACATTAACATATTCTGCGAAAAAATGAATCAGAATACAGATTGCGTTATTTTTTCTTGACAAGTATTGGCTTCTGTCTCTCCACCTTGTTCAGCGTTTTTCTTCTTCAGGGAAATAATATCTTGAAAATAAGCTTTTTCATTATGTTAAAAGACCAAATCTGATTGTATGCGGTCAATTAGCATTATCAAATCAATGAATCCCAATGGTCCAAACAACACGAATTAGGAATTGCTAATATTGCCTTATATCGATAAATTAATTGGTATTATCAAAATATCTTGTTCAAAAACACCTCTCAACAGGGAAATAAAGCAGGATGTTAACCACTTAGAATGCGTTTAGGGGAATTCAATTGCTATCATGCGAAGACATGACAGATTTGTAAAGACAAAAACATTCTAGAGAACAGTTATAACGAGTCTCATCTAAACAAAAATCATTTTGTTTTGTATTCCGGGAGCCTTTAAAATAATGCCTTATTTTATGGTTCTTTCGTTATAAAAGACTACGATACCGCCTAGATGTTCATTCTCGTATACTTTGTAATATATACTACATTCCTTAAAATGAAAATTTAAAACATTGGAGCTCAAGAATGAATCACAACCATTGGAAAAAAACCGAAATATTTTATGACTAGTTGAAATGTATTCAAATCATCCTGTGGTCCATTGATTAGAGGAAAGATATAAAATATATAAGAGAAAATAAAACTATAAAACTTATTCATTGTAACTACATACTTGAGTGTGGGAAAATGTATCATGCTTTTGATTCAGAATACGATCGGGTATAAATATACCCGCAATGCCCCACATCATTTAATTTAGTACACAATCTATAATATAGATGTGATACATCTCTAAAGAATTTAATTCAAACCAGAAGTGTTTGGGGTAACTTTGTGGGTGAAATATTAGCTTAACAAGATAGGCCTTTAAGGCCAGAAGACGGCCATGTTCACACTTGAAAAATGTGCATTAATATAAATCATGATATAAAGGAAAGAATAGGTATGAAATTTAATTCCTGGGTATAAAATGTGTATCATTTCACGAAAACAATTCACGTACGGAAATTAGTCGATTATTATTCAGGTACTAGGACCATAACTTGTCAAGTATTGGGTTATCATTTTACATCGCAAATTTTATTTTGATGTTCAAACTATCAAATATGAATAAAAGGAGATGTGTGGTATAAAGTATATTGATAGACTCAGACGTATAAGTTATCCACAGATGTTCACCTGGATTTTTTTCTTCATTTATTATAAAAGCAAGAGCTTTTCCTGGAAACGGGTTAAAATACTGTAAAACCAGTTCCAACTTTTGGGAAAACAATAATTCACCTGAAATGTTGAAATGTTGAAGCTTCATATTTATTTCCCAGGGATCAGACCAATGTTATACTCGTTTTCCCCTTTTCTTTTTACCCTTTAAAACAACTGCTACAATATTATTTACGAATTGATCGTTCCACCTTGTACTTTTGAATGTTATATTAGAAGATAAAAGCCACAGTTTTAACAGGTCAATTATATTGTTTTCTTTTTAAAACAATTAGTTATAGGGTGGATTTCAAGAAAACGTATTAATTTTCATTCTTTCAAATAATAACGTTTATGACAACAATCTATATTTTGATAAAAGATAACCATTTGGTCAGGCTTTTGCGCGAGGCAAGACATATAGCAAATTTAACAACATTCGATGAACGTTTGCGTTATTTCACAATTGTTAATCATATCAGTCAAAAGAAACTGTATTCCATATGCTTTGGTTTTCATTTCGGAGAAGTATAGCTTGGCTTGATGAAAAATTGCGTTAATTCATTTCGGTAATAATCTGACACTTAAGGCATATGACATTAAAGGAAAACACAAACAAAAGTTTCTCATCTCGAATTACAAAAAATCTATTGAAAATCCACAATAATGATTTATGATTTTAATTATTTCACTTGGTTGATGAATTTTCCTGTCGGGACCTCAACGTAACTGACGACGGGGCGGTCCCCACATCACACAGGAAATGACTTCTCCCCTCCCACCCCAACGTTTTGTCAGTCGAGTGTCTGCCGTGTCAAGCTGAGAGAGCACAATGGAGAAATCATCGGTCTAATCTCTCTTTCCCATATTCTCCGTTTAATCTGTTATGTTCCTAAATAGCTTGTTAGTTTAAATCTTCATTTTAATGGCTGAACGATGAACTGCTTAAAATCAACAAGACGATCGTAAAATGTGTTCAATACATCCATTCTGCCTCGTCAAGCAGATGTAAAACTGTGGACGACCATCTGTAAAGACTTTAATAAATATGAACAAGCATTTGTATTCAGGAAAAAATCAAGTATAAAATCGAAAGGTCTAAAGAATTATAAAGGGGAGCAGGAAAAACTATTTTACTTTATATGTGACTACCTAGACATTAAAATCATTCCAAAAGGATTATGTTGTAAAAATACGTTTTTGAAATTGAAATAAATTTATCCATCAATGTTGTCTTTTTTCTATCGGAATAATCTTTTAGTTGGCTGTTAAATCCCGATTATGATTAAATTCACATAAGAATAATAATTGTTTCCCCCAATGACTTGCATAATAGTAGTATTCCGCTGATTAAATTCTGTTCTACAAAACTGTCAGTTACATTAATACATTAAAAATAACAGTTATTAATTGAATTTATATTACAGTATCAAGCTGTTTACGATTAACAATTGATAAAATATAGTAAAAGAAAATATACGGACAATAAAAGAAATTAATTAATTATTTGTAGAACTTATTTCCCTTGGAAGCATTTCCGGTTTCCAATATTTAGCATTATTTTTGTCGAAATGGAAATAAATAAGACACAGAAACATATGCTGTATATATTTTAACAGATAGTTCTTAAATCAAAGTTAACACATTATAATCTTTTTATTACATTTTATGGCGTTAAGCTTCGATTGATTTTTTAATTAAAGCTTTTTTTCGTCATTTACAACTTCATGTGAAAGTTTAAATATAAATCTACCTGTGAAGTCAAATTTGTTTCATATCAGATTGTGGGAAGATAAATTTTGTCGAAGTCGTTGATTAAGAAGACATTAAAACTTTACCCTTCAGCAAAATTCGCAGTTTTTGGATGACATTATTGTTATGTGCTTGTGGACCGAGCCAACGACATAATACCCGGAATTTACTTACGACTATATACCCCTTGACTAAGCATGATAACATCGATTTATGTTTCTTTCCATTTTGTATTTTGACATGTATAAAATACACATCCTTAAGTGTATAATAACGAAAGGCTTATCCTAATATATCAATTTTTCTGTTACTTTTCCTTTACCGGATAACCCGTTGAGGTCAGTTAGAATTTACTTCGACTTGTGGAATTTTGATTGCCTCTTTTGGATCGCTTTGGATGGCTTAGTAAATATTTCCGATTGTATAATTGTCTGTTAATGTTGTCAAATACAACTTTTTAAAAGATTTTGTGTTTATGATTTGTTCTTCGTGCTTGATAATGTTCTGAAAAAAAAACTTGATCTCCAAGTACTTAATATGAAAATGGCCCGCATGCATGCTCATTTTTATGAATAATTCTCAATTGCTTAATAAGTTAAGGGGCAGATGAGAACGCTGAGAAAATTTGAAACTTTACATCATTGTCTATTTCTCTACTGAAATGTACAACTCTTCCTTCAAGCAGAATGTCTAAAGCAATTGTAAAACTAGTGACACACCACGCCCACCCTATTTCTAATTCAAACTGTTTCAGATATAAAAGAAAATCACTCAAACTTTGAAAAAAGCTGTTTTGTTCGACGTCCTTAAGAAATCGTTTAGTAAAGAGGTCTCCTTTGATTTGCGTAAAGCAGTCGTATTTCAATGGTCTTTTACAATGTTAGTACAATGGACTCACAAATCAAACACTGCATATAAAGTGGATAGTCTTTTTTATGATTTTTTAGTTAATTGCAAATATTACTTAAAATTTGAGAACGTTATATTTTAAATGGTAAAAGTGAAACTTAATTTTCATTTAGAAATGATTTGAATACGTATTAAAAGCTCAAAAAGTGGTGAAATAAATAGCAATTATCCATTTAATTATAAATATCGTCTAATTTTACATTTCATTATATCATCTAATAAGCTTTGGTTTATGAGTACATTATCGTATTCTATATTAGGGACAATTCATTCGGGTTTTTATGTAAGAAACCATAGCTTAGATCTACGGTAAAATACATCTTGACCTTTTGCATTCCGAAGGTTCATGAATCAGATATTCTATGCTCGAGTAACAGCAGATGGCTACGTAAACATACAAATATTTATAGGAGGGTAAACAGTAACATTATAGTCCAGTAAAGGGGGAAATACAAAGAAAATTTAATGGACCCTATAGGCAATGGCTAGTCACACGTTACTGTTTACTGGAGGTGGTTGGGTGCATCGCACGCCGTTTAAACGATGCATAATTAATTATAAAGTTAAACTTATTGACCTCGATAGAAAATTAATCTACTAGAAATTTGAGAAGGTTCAGTGATTGTTTCGTATATTAGTAGGAAATTTGAATCATTAAGACTTAGAAATTACTTTTTTCACCGTATATGTTTACTTTTTAAGTAACTTCTGTTGAAATTTTGTTCGCAATTTAAAGTGTGTATTGTTCTTTTCAGGTTAAAATCTGGTTCCAAAACAGACGTTCAAAATACAAGAAGATAATGAAGCAAACTGGACCAGTAACTAATCAAGTTGGGAACAATGTACAAACACCAGTGACGTCACCAAACCATCCTACTCGACAACCTTCACCAGACGCTCAGCATCCTTCCGATACGCCTGCACCTCACGTACAGCCAAACTCACAACAAAACGGACAATCGCATAACAATAACCAACATCCTATGATGTCATCACCTTCATCATCTGTCAGTCCGCAGCCAACATGGGAAATGAATTCAGGTGCACACCAGGCGTCTGCACCAAATTCATATATGCCAATGTCTACAATGTCGATGTCCTCAATGCCAAGCATGGGACCAGGAATGGCAGCTATGTCTCATTATCATTCGTGGTACGCACAGCCACCAATGAATCAACAGTCATGTTTAACATAAAATGTCTCTTCAAACTGTTATTAATTTATTAATGTTATGTAACGACGAATGAGCTAGCCGAAATTGGAACGTTGTCGTCGACGACCGGTGCCTGTGATACACATTAAATGTGGACATTTATCACTTGCTTAGTCTCGACAGTGTTCAGAAGATAAACAGCGCGAGCTGGCCCGAGTCAACGGACGGCTAGTTGAAATGTGAATGTGCCAGTAGAAGTTACTTTAGTATAAAAGGCATTGAAATTTCCTTGCCATGAATTGTATAAATGTGCAGTTGTATTTATATATTGGATAACATTACCTCGCTAACAATTTAATTCAATTTCTGAGGTGGAAATTGAAGTCGCTCAATAATTTCTTTTTGTGTATATGTTGTTTTGACATAAACTAACCATAAACACATACACTATCATGGTCGCTTTCTTACAAAAACAATATTCCATAAAGTGCAATTCTTATTTTAAAGAATTCGTAAGAATTCCCGACGTTTGAAGCTCTTTTTATTTTTAAATAAAACAAATGTAAAACATGAATCCAATGCTGATTTTAACGTTTTAATTCATTTCATATAGCGATCCATGATTTTTGTAAATGTATTTTTGTTTATTTTGCATTTATTGTTGATATTTAATATTCTCTATGAAGATAGTTATTAATTTTTATGTTTTAAAGATATGATTACCTTTACATTATTAAGCCTTATGTTTTCTTATTGTCAATGAAATCCAAATTTTATGTTTAATGCTTTCTTTTTATTATAAAAGAAATTGCATTATGAAATGCATTTAATATTTAAAAAAACTGTAAAGATGTTAATAAATTGAGCAAATACCATTTTTTCGTTTTTAAAAAAATATTGAAACTTAAAACGCACGAATGGCTTACACATTTGTAAGGTTTTGGCGTTGTTTCAGTTGTTCCGGTTCTGTTATGTAAGTCTGGTTTACTTGACCCATATATATTCCATAAGCATTAACGGTTTCATCAATATAAAAAGAAAAGATGTAGTATGATTGCAAATGAGACAACTATTCACAAGATACTAAACAGTAGTTGTAAGCTGTACTACCATCAACAATGAGCAAACTTTACCGTATATAATGTTATGAATAGCCACGACATGACAAATGCAAAACAATGCCCTCGTACTATTTGAGACTTTCAAAAGAAACAATATATCGAGGTTGGATGGTACCGGTAGGCGGTGGATGATTAGGATAGAAAGTAACGTTTAAACCTCTTGTATGATAGGATATGAATAATAACAGATCTGTTAAAAAGGTCAATGAGACAGTAGTTACAAACCAAAATATACATCGAATAGTAGCCATACATTTTCTCTTTTGAACAAACACTCACATCAAATTGCCTCCAGTTTGAAAAAAATGACGCCCGAAATATCTGACAACCATACCAAATTGTAAATAATGAGAAACATGACGGGAAGCACATACACATGGAAGGGGGAGGAGGGTGGTAATTTGGTTTTATTAGCAGATAGTCTGTTACATTTTTTCTTCACTCCGGACGCTTAAGAGTTTGAAATTTTGTACAATATTGTCTTGTTGAAAACCGTATGTTGACTCTAAATGTCTTTTGGTTTTGTGTCGTTGGGTTGCTTCCTCATTGGCTAATACCCCACATCTCCTTTTATTCGTACAATGAGGAGTCGCATTTACAAAAGCAAACTAAAAGTATGAAATCTGTTAGTAAACTTGTACCTCGACAACTGTACAATATATTTAAATGCAGATGGCTTTCATATAGCAACTTCATAAATAGTGTATTTGATGGCCAAAGATATGTCTTATGACCCGAAATTATATTATGATTTGTGCAAATGAGATGTCATATATACCATCAAACTCGGTAATGTTATACATAATAAATTTATATACATGTATCATACTGTTGTAAGAAAACAGAGATGTTTATTCATATCAAGAGAAAGAAGATACAAAGTGAGCAATAAAAAACTCAATGTGATTGAAATAAGTCCAATTGCTTACTAGCAAAGCGTGAACACAAGATCTATATTTCAATGGTCTTTCATCAGATTTATAAAAAAAAAACAAGAATCGAAGAAATACACCATACCATGAGATAAAATAAACCAACTAAAGACATGTCAACAAAACACTCCACAGAAAACAAAAGATTGAGCAACACAAACACCATCAAACCCCGTGTCGAACGCAGGTAATCAAAAAGGGTAGGCAACTCCAGCTCCAAAAGAGGCATGTTACTCTTGTCAAGTATTAAATATATGAATAGTGAAAGCTGACTGTTTTCACTAATTATTTATCATTCAAGTTAATCATCACTTTCTGTTTCTCCCTCTTTTTACTGATACATGAGTGATAAATTAAGCATTTCTTTCTACTTTTTGTTTTTACCTTTAAACAATTTCTTGGGACTTGTGAAAAGTTTAGATACTTAAGACCAATGTCTAATAAACGCATGAAAGATGTCATTTTGAATATGTATGAAATTAGTAATCTATGTTTTTTTAACTCGAGGGTCAAAAAGGGACTCAGATCGTCTCCTTGTATTTCGCTTCATAGTGATGAATGTGGAATAGTTTAATAGCGTGCGACTAGAATATAAACAAAGTTACGTACGTTTTGTACAAGCATGATAGTGAAGCTAGCCAAATAGGCTTATGATGTACATTCATGTCTAAATTTTACTCATAAAATATGACATGGTGGTCTAGAGACCCAATCTGGTGTCCTCTTGTGCAGTTTTATGCGTATATATAAATTTGTGAATAAAACATCAAGCTGGTTAATACGGGAAGATAAACAGCTGGGAGAATGTGTTTTTCAAAGTACAAACAAAATATACTTATAGCTTTCACAAAACCTCTGCACATAAAAAACTGCTGTGCTTCAGTGGAAAGGAAGATCCATTCAAATAATAATTATAAAATCCTAAACAAAGCCAAGCCAAACCAAAAAAATGAACAGAACAAGATCCAGCATGAAAAACAAGACAACACAAGAAAATTAAAACAAAAAAGACAGAAAAAGAAGCAAAACAAAAGCAAAAACAAACAATTAAAACATCAATAAAAAACATGAAACAAAGCAATAACGAACAAAATAGACAAAATATCACATATCTCTATTCATAAAATCAAAATAACTGGGAAAACTTGCATAGTAACTTGTTTATTGTTTGCAGGTAATATGAACATGGTGATGTTAGTACGTCCGACAATATAAGCACTCTCTGCCAATGAGGGTCTCGCACGGTCGGTTATAAAGTTTATGTCGATGATGATGATGATAGGTTTTAGGGTCTGGCTATCCTTTTGGATATTGCGGACTGATGTACTTAAGTTACAGATTTGGATCTGTCTGTTTTTTTGCTTTCATCTTACTCCGACTGCGTTGTTGTGGCTGGTACGGAGTGTTAGGCCGTTCTGACAGGATGGCTGCTTCTATAGTCTCTTTAGATTGGAGGTTCAAGGGCGACGTATGAGGTGGTGTGTTAAGTAGGTCAGGGTCGTCGATGTCAAACCCATCATCAAAGCGACCCTACTGCGATTGCCTCTTTCTGTTGTCGATGCATAGTAAATGTTTGTCAACGAAGTGATCGATTCTAAGTTCAACTCACCTCGAAGTTTATGTCAAAGGTAAACATCATTTATATATCGGACGATTTCAAAATTCCGGACTGGGCGATTATTATAATTTTTGAGTGTTGGGGGAGTTATGCCTCTAGGAAATGTAAAATCACATCGAAGCGCTCTCGTGCCAACATTTCTCCCGGAAGTTAAATGCAATTTTTGTTTATATCTTAGATGAGTTTCAACATCAGAACCGATAATTCATTTTTGACGGGATTTTTTCTCCTTGAAAATGTAAATCATTTTGGAATTCAACAGTGTAAGCCTCCATGCACTGACATTTCTCATTTTGAGTTAAATAGAATTTTGTCTAAGTGTTTATACATCAGCAGACGCACTTGATAATCAGTACGTATAGCAATTTTACGGGAGTTATAATTCTTTGAAATAAAAGTAGCATATCGGCGGGGACATCTGTAGTAATCTTGTTTATTTTGTGGTCGCTTATTTTGTATATAACTTCAATAGAGAAGATTTAACCCATTGCATAGGAACACATTTTAACTGTTAAGTATCGACAAAAAGCTATAAAGGTACTGGTATATTGAGAGTTGAACCTTTGTTTCTGGCAGACTATATCCCCAGAAACATACCAATCATTGCATCCATCCAAATGCAGTAAAGAATAAGTAATCATTCGTGTAGCGTAATATTCAGCCAGGATCTGTACATGTTTTGGCGCTTATACAAAGCAATAAGTACCATTTCGTTGTTTATAAAGGGAAAGCAATGAAGACAAAAATGTACAACGAAGAAGAATGCTATATTTCAGAATGACACAACAATTCGTTATGTAAACATTTTTTAATTGTCTTTACACATACACGTGGCTTAGTTTGTGTTATGCTTGCAAATTTGATGCCAGTGTTGTCATTTTCGCGTGTTGGTCGACATCATAGTTTTGCGATTAAAAACTAGTTTTTAGTTGTTTAATGTTAATCATTTTCTTTTCCTGTTGACTTTCATGGGTTTTTACACATTGATAATTTACAGTTTATATTATTGCTTTTTTATCTTTCGCAGAGAAACAATGGGACACCATTAATCAAGTTAAACATCATGGTTCCGTTCAAAGTTACATTTATTTTAGAACGCAATGTAAAATTACCCGCCGTTTCCTGTTAAGGAATTATCATCTCTCGATCAATGTTAAATTGTTTTCATGGTGCTTAGATTTTACGTATTTGCCATGAAGGACCATTTAATGCCATTCAAGCAGACGACATTCTGCATCCATCTCAGTGCCAGAAACGTTTACAAAGTTTGAGGCCAACATCAGGGGAGATCGACTTTATTCTTTGCTGATTTTCCTCAGTCATCTGAAAACAAAATACTGCGTGCCTGCTTACAAAATACCTCCTGTTGCAATGATCCTGCATTAATGTTTAAAATAGACGTTGTTATTCAGTTCTTAGCATCAGTCGTTCGGTTTCTTTTACACGAAGATAACACTTTAAACAGTTTGTGCGTCCTAGGCGCTTTTCTGGATTTACCTTCATCAGGAACGCTCAAACCTAAACATTTGAAAAGCAGGGATGTATGAATACGTAGAAACGTTAGAAGCTATTTAAAGATCAAATTACTTTCGCTCTTCTATGAGACTCTTTTGACTTTCATATAATATGAAAATGTGTGCATCTATTTAAAAAAGGTATTTTCTTGGATAGAACTATTCAAGAACATGCATATTTCATTTTTATAACCCTATCCCTTTGGGGTTCCCAAAACAGATACTTTTATCACTTGTGAAGTTTTCCATTTATGACTGTACTTCCAGTATAATGTTATTGAATTTTGTCCTTAATTATATATAATTGGGTTATTAGTTATAATATTTGAGAGGATACTACCGCCAGGGGTTGAGTTGAAGCAGCAAGTTCTTTATTAAAAACAATTATCGTTAATTAAATACAATTCAAGAGATATTTTAAAATTGTAATATTCAGATCCGATTACTTTAGTTTAGTCACACTTGTGCGGGCATATTCAAGCTATTTAAAAGTCATCTCTTCTTCATAATAAAAATATTGCGACACTCTCTAATGAAAAGGACGGAGACAACGGCCTAGCGCGTTTTATAAGAACTGGCATCTCTTGCAATATCATACATTTATTGTATTAGATAAAGCATGTTTAAATCCACATACAACAGCCAATATAAACAGTAAAAACATGACTTAAAGAAAGTGAGTTAATAGAG